ATCTTCAACAACTTCAGATCTCTAGCTAAGTCACTTAGTTCTTTCTGTGACAGTTTATGGTTTATTTTGGCATCATAGTCGCTGCTTTACTCTGATCACTTCCACTGGATTGCATTAATCGGTCAGGAGAATTTGGTCTTGGTAAAGTTTTGCTGTGCGGAATCGGCTTTTTTCTGATCTTACATTAGGATAAACCAAACTTTTCTTTGTTTATGTCGTCTTGGTTTGTGTTCCAGAAATAGCAATCGCAATGATCTGATATTTCTGACCATAACATTGGAATACCAAACTGCAAATGCGATATAGATTCCCCGCCATCCATCTATTCAAAGTTATACCGCAATTCGGACATACAAAGCTGGGTGTCCAGGGCTTGTCTAAATTTGTTAAAGCAAACCCAAAATAATGAGAATACGCCTGTTTTATAACAGTTGTAATTGACCATTAGCAAGAAATCTTTCAAAAAAAGACTGTTTAGCAGAACAAGGTTCTAACACTTTTTCACACAAAGTGATTGTTTTCTAACAATGAGAATTTCTTTTGCCAAAAAAGGTCTAACAGGTAAACGCGCGCGTTCTTAAAAACTTCTCCAAGAATGTTATTTATTTATTTATTTACCATTTATTGCCACAAACAAAAATACAAAATTACATAAGATACACTTAACTTAAACAGTATCAGCAAATGGATCATTTTATCGCACAAGCGATCTCTGCCAAATGACCCAACAGAACAAACAAAAATAAAAATAATATTTGCTGAATATGGCAAGTAGTGATAATTAGATATTATTAACATCACCAAATAAGATTAAGCAAGAAAAGAAAAACAAAGAGAAAAATAAAGAAAAGACACAAAAAGAGAGATAGAGAGCGACTAAAAGAAACTAAAAGAATCTGCCGGATATCAGTTGCCAACAAGTGAGAGCAGTTGAAGAGAGGAAAAAAAGAGAAAGACAAAGAACAAAGAATCAGGAAACAGCCAGTTGAAGGGCAAGCAAGTGGCTCTTTAAAACATGTCTAAAATTAGTAATTCTAGAAATATTACGAATTTCAGAAGGCAGTCCATTCCACAGCGCAATCGACTGTACTGTAAATGATCTATGATAAATTTCAGTGCTATGAACGGGAAATGTAAGAATAGTATCAGAACGTGAACGAGTAGCAAGCTCATGAGTTGATAATTGCTGGAACCTATCTGATAAGTACTTTGGGGTGCAGTTATGAAGGATTTTAAATAAAATGGTTAATAAACGAAAGGATCTACGTCTCTCACAGGTTAACATCTGAATGTAATTGCGATACGGCGTTACATGCTCAAATCTATTTAGGTCAAATATGAACCGGATACAATTATTTTGTAGCCGCTGCAATTTACTCAGAAGAGTCACCGAGAGATCGGGATAAACCGCGTCCGCATAGTCGAAGTGAGGAAATATAAGAGAGTAACAAAGATTACGACGCACCACAGGAGGAAGAGAGCAGCGAAGTCTTTTTAAAGAGTGGAAGCAAGCATAGACTTTTCTGCAAACATGTTGAATTTGCGGTTTCCAAGACAGTGCAGAATCCATAAGGACTCCAAGATTTTTAACTGTGTTAGAAAACCGTATGACATTACCATCCAGCATCAGATCACTGCAGGCAGATGGATTAATCTTACCAAGTAATTGACGAGTTCCAAACACAATAGCTTGCGTTTTAACTGAGTTCAACTTAAGTCCGTATCTCCGAGACCAGTTCAAGACGTTAGATAGATCGTTATTAAGTCGCACAATAGCTGCCGGAAATTCAGCAACAGTAGTAGTAGTATATATCTGCAGGTCGTCGGCATACAAATGATAATTACACGAGATATAATTAGTAACACTATTAACGAACAAAGAAAAAAGTAACGGACCCAATACACTGCCCTGAGGAACACCACATTTGATTGCACAAGCAGAAGAAATTGAAGAGTTAGCGCGTACGCACAAGGAGCGATGGGAAAGGTAGGATTGAAACCAAGAAACACAGGGGGGAGTGAATCCGTAGGCAGAAAGAGACGCTAAAAGAAGGCTGTGGTCGACAGAATCAAAAGCCTTGCTGAAATCGAGCAGTACCAGCACAGTAACACATCTGTTGTCGCAGGCATACCTAATATCATCAGTAACTTTAATGAGAGCAGTAGTTGTACTATGCCCACTGCGAAAACCCGATTGCAACTCATTGTGTAAATTAAACCTCTCTAGAAATCCTTGGACTTGTAAATAAACTAAGCGTTCAAGAGCTTTTGATAGTACGGATAAAATTGAAATCGGACGGAAATCAGTGTTACATGAAGAGGACTTGGATTTGGGTATGGGAACGACATGAGCAACCTTCCAGACAGAGGGAAATAAAGACCGCTCAAAAGAAAAGTTGAAGATATGAGTTAAGGGAGGAAGCACTATATCCAGGATAGGAAGAAGAAGGTTGAGACCGATACCATCAGAACCCACGCAAGGGGACTTCGAATAAGTCAAAGCATCGCCTACTTCGATCGCGGTCACAAGCGTAAGAGAGAAGGAGCAAGATTTAAGAGAAGTAAGAATTTCATTAATTGTAGCCGCCTTAGTTACGTCATCGATGATCAGGGGAGGCTCTGCAAAAAAGTTTGCCATCGACTCACAATCAAGATCCATCTGGACAGACGGAGAATCAATCACTCCGAGAGACCTCATAGTCCTCCAAAATGTTCTGTTTGATGTTATTGTTTGTTGTATTTAAAAAATAATAATATTTGTTTCAGTGAATTTAATGTTTATACTTAGTACCTGGAAGAGTTAAAACACCTCTTTATTAAAAAAATTGTTCGTAATAATGTTTCAATAATACGGTGAAAATGGCAAAAAATGAAATTTTGCATGATTGTCGTAAATTAACGATATCTCCGGTAAAATACATTCGACCATGGAGTCCAATGCTTCGAAATTTAGAGAATTAACTGTTCTACAGGACAGAATAGCAAACTTTTTTGTTCATATATAATTCTTTTTCGTTACGGTGCGATTAAGTGTTGAAAAAATGGGAAAAATGCCAAAAAATTGAATTTTGTTGAGTTGTTTTAGGCTGTAGCAAAATAACTCAGGAAACTCAGATTTATGCCATCAATACCTCAAAATGTTCGTCTGGATCTCTACATTCATGTCCATATAGCTACAGNGTACACCTCCCAAAATAAGAGAAATTGCTCAGAGTTCAATGTCCTCATTATTGTGGACCTTGTATTCGATGCTAAGAACGTGTTTAAACATCCATAGACAAAAATTGTCACATTGACAACTAGAAAAATTAATGACCCAATGTCACCAACTTGAACTGGTTCCATAAAATGTTACTAAAATCTCATTACAGCATCGGATGTTGTAAGGAGTCTCATTACAGCACCCGTTTGAGTACTGTTATAGCTTTCATTACCGTCGCGAATTACAAAAACTATTATAAACTATAATAGTGTAATTGTTCAAGATATAAGATATGTAAAAATCATAAAAAACAGGAGCACATTCAGTACTTTCATGAATATATTCGTAACCTGGGCACTTGAAAACATAAAAATTTGATTGAAGATATCTAGGGCACCAAAAAAAATTTTGTTGTTGTACAGTTGTGTTATTATTGTTTCTGAAAAATAAAGTACGTGAAGTATTACAAAGAAAAAAAGATTTAGTTTTCTCTTTTGGACATTAATGGGTTGATGTGTAAAGTGTTGTGGAATGGTTTTGCATAATATCTCTTTGAATTAAAAAAGAAATTGGCAGATCCGTTTAGGTTAACTACTTCATTAACGAAGATTTAACATTGTGAAATTAGGCGATGTTGCGCAATAGATAGTATAAATCTCTGACAGCAATTCATCGTAAATGAGAACCACACTTAAATCTGTCCTAGGTTTAATTTAAGAGGATTTCTCGCATCCATAGTGGTTAAATATTCATCATTAATTAATATTCAACCACTTTATAAAAAAATATGTAGAAATCGAGATATCGGCCCCCAGCAATCACCCAGAAATTTTGAATTTTTATTGCTAATGACAAACAAGAGATAAAAGGTCAAATTAAGAAAAGCAGAAGAGTGCACACACAATTCTCTATGTTTATGTGTTAAAAACTGTATTTTTGTTTGTAACAAAAGTCCACTCTAAAAATTAAAGAAAATCTAACAAAAGTCTTATTCATCATTGTTTTAAGCGTTAAACTTTCTGTCAATTCGATTTCTAAATAATATAAAAAACACAACAACAAATTTTTGTTATTTATTACTTTTGTGTAGGATTTTCTTTTCGATTCTTTTGATATATCTTCAATAATTTATGACCATATAGATTTTGAGGTGGAGACAACAGGCAATAGATTTTGTACGGAAAAAGCAGGTGCCACATACACATACATTATTTTCCGCTGCGTTCGACGTAAAAACAAACGGCCATTAATCCCATTCGCAATACCGGTTGGTGTGCTTTTTTTTTATTATTGTTTAATTCTCGATGAACTCGCGTTTAACGTACCGATTGTCCGATGTGACGGGACGTCAAAAGCAGATTGCTTCGATGGCGACAACGTATTCCATTTCCGGTGTCACGTAAAATCAAAAATTATGTTGGATTAAAATATAGGACACGACCTATTTTATATTTTGTTGAATCAATAGAGTCATTTTTTAAGTGATACAAATATTATAAATAGTTTTATTATAGGATTAAAATTTTAATTAAAATAATTCGGAAATTAAATTCCGGTGATATTGATTTAATAATTTAATAATGAGATGGGAAATTAATGAGTTTCTGTAAAGAAAATAATAATTAATTTATAGAAGAAATTTATTATATATTTAGAGGACCACCTGCTGCATTAATCGAAAAAACACACCTCCAATTTTTAAACAGATACAGTTCCGTATAATAAAACACTTCTTGTCAAGCGTTTTATCGTGAACCATTTCTTCTCGGAATTGGTGGGACAGACGGGTGAAAGTGGATTTGGGCGAATATAAAAAGTCGAAATTTCAAACTTAAAGCATCATTCGGCAAAGTTCTCCAACATATACACAAAAATGAAGTCTTTATTGGTAAGGTGTTGAATGAAGAAATGTTTTTATCTAATCAATTTTTTTTCGTAGATCCTTGTAATTTGCTTGGGAGTTGTTTCTTGTGGGAACTTACATGGTTTATTGGAACCACCGGTATCAAGTGGAGGATATAGTACGGGTTACGCAACGGGAGGTTTTTCAGCTTCAGCTGCTTCATCCGGTCATTCAGAATACAACACTATTGAGTATTCCTCAAATGAGGCATCGCATGGAATTAGCCAAGGAATTGATTTAACAAACGTCCAAGAAGGAGCTAGTTTTTCTCATGGTTTTCATGGAAAACCAGGAGTAGTACAAACTGGGACTACTGTTAATCATCAAACGCAAAAAGTTGCAATTCCAGTACCACAACCAATTAAAGTGCATGTAAATAGACCGGTTCCTGTTCCCGTTGCTGTACCAAGACCCGTTGAAGTACCAAGACCAGTTCCAATTCATGTACCACAACCTGTACCAGTTACCATTACAAGACCAGTTCCGGTAACCATCCCAAAACCAGTTCCTGTTCCAGTTCAACAACCTGTTTATGTTAGAGTTCCACAACCAGTTCAAGTTCCAGTTGCTCAACCATATCCTGTGGTTGTTCCACAACCTTATCCAGTTAGAATTCAAACTCCGATTAGTGTAGGAGTTCCTGTTTATCAAAGTGGTGGAGTTTATGGTGGAGGAATTTATAATGGAGGATTTTCTAGTGGAGGAGTTTATAATGGAGGAATTTCTAGTGGAGGAATTCATTCTGGTGGAGTAACTGGAGCATCCTCTTTAATCGGAACTGGGGCATCGTTTTCAGGAGTTACTAACAACTACGGCAGCGGTGCTCACTTAGGTTTGGGAGCTTATCAAGGATCATTACAAGATTGCCCAACCCCAGCGGGATTTGAAACCCCGATAAGTTCAGGATTAATTGGAAAATACCCCACCGATTTTTCACATTACGGTGGTCATTCATTCGGAGTAGCTCCATTAAATAACAATATTAATAGCGGATGGGTTGGAAAGCATCAAACTCAAATTTACGATAATACAATTAGCCAAGCTTACGATTCAAACGGAGGATATAAATATTAACCACTTCAAGTGCTTATTTAGTTGTTTATAGATGAAATATTATCTTTCAAAATAGGTTAAAATTAAGATTTGTTTTCTAGTCGTAAATGTTATCGTAGAAAATAAAGATTTTTAAAGCACATACTGATTTTATTTCAAAAAATGATAAATGAAATGAAAGTGAAATATGTAGATGAGAATCGTCCGGGTTTTTTTTCGGTGAGTCATCGCGAGCTTTCGCTCATATAAAACTCGAGGAGTTCGGGTGTGGTCAAAAAAAGTGAAATACCATATGAACGAGTTCTTTATTATATGGACCATCAGTGAAAGTAAATGTGAAAGAAAAAAAATACCAAAGAAGAAATTGAAAACATTAAAATTTAAACAATACAGACACAAACGTTTAAGTTTATTGGTGAAAGTTGATTTCGGACATTTTTAGATGACAAAATTTATTTACAGTAAAAAAATATAAAGAATTAATAAGGGGGAGGGAGTATCTGTTATTCACACCGTTGCGTTCTTTATTAGTTAGTTCAATAAAAATATACAACAATCTAGTGCTGAATAATAACTAAAACTAGAGCTAACACTAACACTAACACTAGACCTAGAACTAGAAACATTCGGGTTTAGCCGCACGTCTCTTAAGACGGCTTAACCCGAATGATTCTAGTTCTAGGTCTAGTGTTAGTTGCTATTCCAAAACTAGAACGAACCAGTGAACTAGTTCAGAGAGTCGAGAACTATTATTAATAAAATAATTTTCTTCAGCACACTTAAGTGTTTTTAATTATTAATACCTTTCCTAATTATTAATTATTAAATTAAAAGAACTTGAAGAGTTTGAACAGTTCACTAGAAAATTTGAAGAAGTGGCGAGGCAGTTAAGTTCCACAGGAGTTGAATTAAAAGAAGAAGACTTTTTAATTAAAAGAAGATTTTTAGATACAGTGATGACCATTTTGGAAAATACACCAGTAAATGAATTAAAATTGGATGTGGCAATAGGAAAATTAGGAGCAGAAGTGGAGAAGAGAAAAATAAAATATGGTAATATGGAAAGAAAAGTTGAAAATGAGAAACTGGCTGCATTTCAATTTACAAGAAATGAATCATGCTTTAAATGCGGCAAGAAGAGGCATTTTAAAAGAGATTGTCCAGGATTGTAAGGAGTATAATAATGGATGGAATAGAGAACGTGGTAGTTTTAGAGGAAAAGGTCAAAGAGGATATAAAAATGGATCAGAAGGAGGCAGAAACAATAAAGAAGAAGATGAGAGAAGTAATTATCCACCATTCACAGGAATTAGTATCACTTTTAGGTTTTGGACACAACAGATAATAATCAAGTTCAAACCCAATAGGACTTTTTTCATTGAATACAACTTTATTTATATCAGGTTTGTCTTTAGCAACCTCATTGTAACAATCCCAATACGATATATAAAATCTCTTGTTGCAGTTTCGTCTAGTTTCCTTCTGTTCGCTTGTAATTCATCATCACATTCATTACTAGCAGAACTGTCGCTGTTATCGCTTTCGATTATTAATTAAAGTATCCTCTTTTTAATACAACAAGCCGTTTTGAAAAATCGCTTTTAGTTCTTAAGAAATAAAATTTTGAAATGATCGAGATTTTTTTGAATTTTGCAATTTTTGCCGATTAAGTTTAAAAAATTCTTATAAAGTCCATTTCTTGGAATATGAGTATGAAAATTTCCCAAAGTGTTAATAAGAGTGTCCTCTTTCCAATGAACTAACCCGTTTTGAAAAATAACTTTTAGTTTTTGAAAAAACAATATTTGAAGTTTTGAAAAAATTTTCGATGTTGCAATTTTCATCGATAATTTTCAAAATTCGCTATAAAATTCATTTCTTGAAGGATCCTTGTGGAAATATCGCTAATTATTAATTAAAGTATCCTCTTTTTAATGCAACAAGCCGTTTTGAAAAATCACTTTCAGTTCTTGATAAATAAATTTTTGAAATGATCGACAATTTTTTCGAATTTTTCAATTTTCGCCGATTAAGTTTTAATAATTCGTATAAAATCGATTTCTGGGAATATGAATATGAAAATTTCCCAAAGTATTAATAAAAGTGTCCTTTTTCCAATGACCCAACCCATTTTGAAAAATAACTTTTAGTTTTTGAGCATACAATATTTGAAGTTTAGAAATTGTAGATTCCGGGTTCATCGTAAGGTATTGAAGAAAATAAACTCGAAAGAACGATGAATAATTAAATTTATTAATGTAATTTCGGTAAATTCGGCACCGAATTTACATTACAAACCGTACAAACCTTTTGTACGGTTCTGGCAACAATAGTAAGTATGAATTAACATCACGGTTGTTGATTGAGGAGCAAAGAATAAAAACAAATGAACAAACAGAAACCGTTTTTTTGTCAGGAAGAAAAGAAGAAAGGAAAATAATAAAATGCTTTCAATGCGGAAAATTTGGACATATTAAACAAAATTGTAAAAAGAAAAGAGAGGATAGAATATGTCATATTTGTAAAAAAACAAGGCCACATCGCAAAAAATTACTGGTTTAAAGATCAAAGAAACAACAAACATTATGAGAAACCTTATAAAAACGATAACGTCAATGCAACATCAAACAAGACAGATTGGATATTGGACAGTGGTGCAAGCGATCACATGTGTTCAACGAGAACAATTTGTAGAAATGGTTAAAGGCATTCAATGGAAAGTATTAGGAAATGGTAGATTTGAAAAATATTTTGTATGTACCAGGTTTGAAGGTAAATCTATTTTCTTTGGGAATTGCACTGTTGAAAGGATATAAAATCACATCAGATGAAAAAATATGTAAATTTATTAAAAATAACATAGTTGTTGCGATAGCATTAAGAGATGGAAAGCTGTATCGAATGAAATTTGAACATGCAGATTTTGGATATAGAGCAAAAGTAGGAGTAACTGTAGGTACCTTACAAGGATGGCATAAACGACTTGCACACCAATCAAAGATATATACGAGAAATTTGTTAAAGCGCCAGAACATCAATTATGAAGATTCAGAATTGTTTTGTGAAGGTTGTAAAGAAACGAAACGAATAGAAGTTGCTAGAGACATCATTTTCGAACCAGACGTTCAAAATAAAAGTATTGAAAATCAAGAAAAGAAAGAACACGAGTACATAAAAGAAGATTCGACAGAGAAAAAGGAAGAAATAAATGGAGAAGAAGTTAATGGAGAAGACGTGAATGGAAAAGAAGTGAATGACAAGGAAGTGAATGGAGAAGAAGTGAATAGATAGAAAAAACTGAAAAGTTACGTCAATCTACCAACTTAAATGTCCTTACTTCTGCCGCTCAGTCGAAGTTAAGAGTCAGTGGAAAAAGAGATGCTTCACTGATGTTTAAAAATATCACCAGTTCACCAAAGCGAGCTACAAAATACAAAAAATCTTCTATTGAAAAAGAAAATGTGATAACCTCACAATTAAGTACTTCTCAAGCCTTATCACTTTTTGTTGAAGCAGGACTTTCCAGAAGTCAGTACGAGGTAATAAGAAGTTACAGTAAAAACATATATCCCTGCTATAGCGTACTACAAAAAGCAAAACAGGAATGTTATCCTGATAAGAAAGCTTACAAGGTTACCGAAACTTGTGCCGAAATAAAAATTCAAAATTTAATGGATCATACTGCCACGCGCCTTCTTAAGCATCTAGAAGAAGTAGTGCAATCTTTGCAGAAATCCGAGAGGGATTCGTTGGTTTTACTGAGCAAGTGGGGATGTGATGGGGCACAACAATCTCAATACAAACAAAAGTTTGTAAATGAATCTGACACTGATGCGCACTTATTCCAGAGTTCGTTTGTACCCCTTCAACTTAGTTGCTCTACGAACAATAAAGTCATCTGGCAGAATCCAAAACCATCCTCACCCCGTTATTGTCGCCCTATAAAGATAAGATTTAGTAAAGAAACCACCGACTTAACTAAAGAAGAGATCAAATATATTAAAAATGAAATAGATTTATTACAAAATTCTACAGTTACACTCTCTAACAAAAGTTATTCAGTTAAACACACAATGATGCTAACCATGGTAGATGGAAAAGTCTGCAATGCTATTACAGGCACTACTTCTACCATGAGATGTTATATCTGTGGTTTAACCTCAAAAAATTTTAATGATTTAAACGTAAAAACAGAAGATAAAACGGAGGCACTTGGTTTTGGTCTTTCTGTGTTACATGCCCGAATAAGACTATTTGAATCGATATTACATCTTTCTTACAAGTTACCTGTAAAAAAATGGCAAATAAAGGTAGAGACTGAGAGAGCTGTAATAAAGAAAAGAAAAACAGAAATACAAAAGAATTTTCGAGAAAAGATGGGCTTGATCGTAGATGTACCTAAACCGGGATTCGGTAACAGTAATGATGGCAACACAAGTAGGAGATTTTTTTCGGACCATGAGCTAGCAGCAGAAATTACAGGAATTGATGTTAACTTAATATATAGGTTAAAAGTAATCCTGGAAACCATCTCGAGTGGATTTAAAGTCTCTTCAGATTATTTTGCTGCATACGCGAAGGAAACTGCCGAGCTCTATGTTAAACTTTACCCCTGGCATCCGATGACTCCTACATTACACAAAATACTTGTTCACGGAGCAGCAGTTATAGAAAGCGCGTTACTTCCGATTGGCCAGTTATCATAAGAAGCGTCAGAAGCCCGACACAAACATTTTAGATTTTATAGGTTAAATTATGCTCGAAAATTCTCAAGAGAATTCTGTAACCACGATGTAATTAATCGAGTATTACTAACTTCAGACCCGTTCATAACAGCAATGCGACCAAATCTCCCAAAAAAAAGCAAACCATTTTTAAGAGAAACGACAGCAATGTTAATTTGTGCTGCACCTTATACAGAAGGATAAGATTTTTCAGAAGAAAATGACAATCTGTCTGTGCACGAAAAATCGTTTAACACGTCATTTTCTTCAGTATCATCATTTAGTTAACAACTTCTTATGCGTTTCTATTTTAATTTATTGTTTTATAGTAGTTAATATAACTTTGATTTGTCTATTGTTTCGTTTTTCAAGCGATGAAGAACTGATAGTTCTCGTGAACTTTAATATTGCAGGATAGCCCATTTGTTATCCAGATTTAATAGAAAACTTATAAAACACTATAAAAAGCCTATATAAATACTTTTAGAGTTGAGTAAAGTGAAAAACTATTTTTGGCCGCGTAGATCTTCAAAATACCCCACTGTGCGTCGGTTTTGTGACAATTACAATACCTCCATGTGCGTTTAGAGATGGCGCTCTGCGTAGTGAGCTACAATGTTATAGCACCCCAAGTTTATAGATTCTAGCTCTTGTTCTCCTAATCAGTGTTCAACTAAACATATTATGTCAATGTTATATTCATTTTGTAAAATAAGTTGTAAGCGGTTTAATTTGTTAGAGAGCCCCTGTATGTTTTATATACAGGGGCTCTCTAAACAGACTCTCTATACAGGGGGTATGTTTTATATTATTTCTATTATTAGTAGCAATAGTAGAAACTGTACGACTTTTAAATGTGTTATTTCGAGAAATAATTATGTTTGACTCTTTTTCCGTAGAATTCGGTCTAAAAAACGATTCAGACACGTTCCAGACGGCCAAATCTCCGGATTCTTTACTTAATCAAGTTTTCCTAATGGGACGGATAATTTAAACGACGAATAGTTTTGAGGATACTTAGAATCCAGCTGACAACACTGGACAGAATTAAATCCTTTATTATTTAAATATTTCTCTAGGTCGCTTGACTTTGTTTTTGGATCAAGACCATAAATATGAAGATGAGCATATCGAATTGCTCCCTTCAATTCACTATCATTTGCTGTTCCATAGGTAGTTCCCAACAAGGACCCACGCTTTTTGCGCCTCTGAACCACTGTGAAGTCGTTAGCGTCTATAGTTTTTTGAAATAGACCTAGACCTAGAACCTCAAATATTTGGGTTTGTATTACAAAATAATCTTTTTTCTTCCATTTCTCTTCTTTAATCTGTATTATGCAAGAAAAAACATTTAAATCTCATAAATATTTAATCCTCTGCATCATTGACATTTAAGACGTTTGTGGGACGTCTTTGATTTTAATAGAAATTATAAATAAAAAGTCGAAAATTAATGTGAGAATTCCGTTAATGTTCCGTGGGCGGGTCTTTTAAATTGAATAATATTACGGGATTCTAAAAAACCGAATTAAACATGCAACAGAACATTTTTGCAACGCACCAGATGCGTTTCGTCGCTACATGAATAATTCAAAAATTACCTTTTTTTCGCCGCTAACACCATATTGAGTAGATTTAAAATTCAGATGTAATATTACGAGAAATAAAACCCTATAATTTATTTAATTGCAGAAAGATTAAAAAGAAAGAAATTTTTCTACATAAAAAAAAGCTCGGTTCATTTTAAATCATTCCTAAAATGAAACCTAACAAAACAAGTCTTAATAAAAAGCTCTTTGTTAATATTTACAAAGACTATTTCGGCCCGGTGATAACCCGGTTACAAATAGCGGCTTATTACCCGCCGAAAAATCCATCTCGAAGAAAATCCTACATCGTTTATGCAACAACAAGCATATTTCTGATGTTCGTTTTGATAGGAATCGGTGAAGCTGTGAGTATTTTCTTTTCAATTCGAGATGGTGACATCGATAAAATCACAAACGACGCATTAATGTTTGTCACCGATTGCGGGCAATACTTCAAATTTTATATCTTAATAACAAAAAATAAACGAATTCAAAAAATGGTTCGATCAGTTAACGACGAATCCTATCAACCCGAAACAAAAATTCAACAAGAATTAATAAGAAAAAACATGAGAAGCGCTCAAAGAACCACAATGACTTATTTTGCTTTAGCGATGAGTACAGGTGTAATTTGGTTGTTATATCCTTTAATAACACAAACGAAAGCTGAAATATTTAGCGTTTACGTCCCTTTTGATACATCTTATTCCCCTGTTTACGAAATCTTTTACTTCGTTAAAGGGTATTCTTTAATGTTACACGCAATGGCGAACACTTCAAAGGATTCAATCGTTGTTCTTATAATGGCTCACATCTGCGGACAATTAGATATCGTTGATGACAAATTAACGAAATTGAAAGAAACCGCATTGGAAAAAATAAAGAATGGTTATCAAAAAAATCTTTCCGATACAATGAACGAACTGTTAATCAAATCGGTACAACGACACAAATTAATCTTGAATTTAAACAAAGAATTTAACGATGTTTACACTTTCGCTATATTAGCGCAATTTACAACAAGCGTTTTAATTATTTGCGTGATTTTGTATCAAATTTCGGTTCTTTCTGTGACGAGTATGGTTTTCTTTTCAATGATTAATTATTTATTTTGCATGATGCTCCAACTTTCTGTGTATTGTTGGCATGGAAATGAAGTTATTCTTAAAGTATGTTAATAATTAATATTAAATGAGTTGAGAAGAAAAAATAAATTGGAATTTTTGTGTTTTAGAGCAGTCATTTATATAGAAGTGTCTATAATATAGATTGGCCGGATACTTCGATTACTTTCAAGAAAAACATGTTATATTTTATGTGTAATGTGAAAAAACCAATTAAGATTTACGCGGGAAATTTCTTTGAAGTTTCATTAGAATCCTATATGGCCGTAAGTTTTTTTATTTAATGTTGTATTTTATAACTTTATAATTTTGTAGATTCTAAGATCGTCTTGGTCTTATTTCGCTGTTTTAAAAAATTCACGGGATGAAATCAAAGAGGATTAATCAAAATTAAATAAATTTTGCACTTAAAATAATTTAAATTAAAAAAATTATTTAATTAATTAATTAACCACCAACACAACAATTAATTACACCACTTTACAAGTTTTAATCAATTTTCTCCTCAAAGATTGCGATATTTTTTTTATAACGTAGAATGTTGAGCTGATTCTGAAACTGTCTTCAATTTTTCTCTATCACGTCCAGTTTTTCAAATATTTCGAAAAATGTGGAAAATCCACATAATTAATGTGAATTTAATTATACTTAGTGCCTGGAACACTTAAAATACCTCTTTATTAAAAAAAATTGTTTGAATAATGTTTCAATGATGCAGTAAAATGGCAAAAAATGAAATTTTATATAGAATTTAAGTCTAACTAGTTTCGGCCCTTGGTCATCTGCAGAGACTCTACAAATAGATTAACATCTCTCATCTTATCCATTTTACAAACGACGGCGCACATACGTTGATTTTAACGATTATCTATTAAAGCTTTTAAAATCTATTTTGTTGTACTATCGCGCCCGATCGAGCTATAATTCTTTTTGATTATGATACTTTGTACTTTCATTTAACTGATGACGATTAAATCAGCTGCGGATACGGCGCGTTTCATAAATTTCAGAGACTTATACGTTATGACTTGAAATAGAGGAAAAAACACGGAATTTGATTTTTCTATATTATTCTGTTTTCAAGTGATTTCAACATCATCTAGCACGTCTAGAATAAAAGGAGTAACTCGTCAATATTTATATGATCAACTGCAACAATTCAATTTTCCAACTTTAGATGAAAAGTTGAATCATTTGGAAAAGCATCTCTTGTCGTACTCCTGTAACGCTGAAGATAAGATAAGATGTCTGAAGAAAAGATTTGGTTACTTTAAATCTTCAATAAAAGTGAAATGGTCGAAAGCTCATAGAAAAGAAGATGTTTTCAAAAAAACGAATAAGGTCTGGTTGGATGGAACCTTTGAACTTCCAAGTGATCGTCAATGTCGGCCGGAACGTCCTTCTAAACCATTTAGTGAATTGAGTGAGAGAAGTAAGCGCCGAAAAACCGAACAGGTTCGCACGACTGTAGACGATGAAGTTATTATTCATGCTGCACAAACAACCTTAAGAGAAAGAGGCAAAAGAGATGCATCTCAAATTCTGCAAAACATCACAAATTCTCCTACTCGTGCTGGAAAATATAAGAAAGCTTTCCAACCCAAATATTGCCAACAAGAAATTCGTCCACTAACACCGCAAGAAGCATTAGCCATGTTTGTAGAGGCTGATTTAACTAAGCGGCAATATGAAGTTATTAGAAGTAGGAACAAAGCTCTTTATCCGTGTTACAATCTAGTAATTAAAGCAAAACAAGATTGCTATCCACCTAAAGAATGTATAAGGGTCACAAGTACCTGCGCCGAAAGTACATTACAAGGCCTCATGAACAACACCGTTACGCGCTTTTCAATTTATCTGGAAGAAGTACTGGCAACCCTCAATGAAGAAGAAAGAAATTCATTGCTAATTATTTGTAAATGAGGATGTGATGGTTCGCAGCAAGCTAAATATAAACAGAAATTCGATAATGATGCCGATTCAGATGGTCATATATTTCTGAGTTCTTTCGTACCAATACAAATAGTTTGTGACATGGATAAAAAGAAAGTCATTTGGCAAAACCCAACACCGTCTTCGCCAAAATATTGCCGACCGATAAGATTCAGATTTCTGAAGGAAAACGCGGATGGTACTAAAGAAGAAATTAGTTTTGTCGAAGAGTTTAGTTGCTACCGAAGTCATTTTGAACGAAAAGACATTCCTGTTTGGACATCTATTGAAAATGACTATGGTTGACGGAAAGGTTTGCAACGCAGCTACTGGCACAAAATCAACGACACGGTGTTATATATGTAACGTAACATCAAAAGATTTCAATAATCTGGATCTAGAAAAAAAAGTAGTGAGTAAACCTGCTATCGAATTTGGTTTATCTGTTTTACACGCCAGAATACGATTGTTAGAGAGTATTTTACATTTGGCTTATAAATTGCCAGTCAAGAAAGGTTTAGAAAAGAGACGGGGTTATTAATAGATATGCCAAAGGCTAACTATGGAAATACTAACGATGGAAACACTAGCCGAAGATTCTTCGAAAATGCAAATTTAGCTGCTGACATCACAGGAATTGATTATAATTTATTGTACAGACTTAAAGTAATTTTGGAAGTCATTTCATCTGGTCATAAAATTGATACCAAGAAATATGATGAATATGCTCTGGATACGGCTAAATTATACGTTCAATTGTATGAATGGCATCCGATGACACCATCCATGCATAAGATATTAATACATGGTGGTACCATCATTAAAAATGCTTTGTTGCCCATAGGGCAATTATCAGAAGAAGCCCAAGAGGTTCGAAACAAACATTTTATATAATAGATAGAGCGATATATATAATAGATTATTATTAAGCTCAGACCCACTTTTGAGCAGCACAACACAAATTAAAAAAAGGTGTAAATCGAAATCATTCTGCCCAGAAACAATAGAAATGTTAATATCAGCTGAGCCTTATATTGAAGCCAGTACTACACCAGATTCTTCGGATAGCGAGCAAGATCTGTGATTAAATATGGTTGAAATAATGATTATTGATATTGTTTACTAACATAATATACCTACGAACAAATGTTATGGGACAGTGATTTCGGAAATGAATGCTTATTGTGATTATTATGTCTTTTAAGATACCTTTCTTTATGTGTTAAGTTAATATGTTTGAATTTTCTGTATTTGTTTTTAAATAATCATATTAATTAGTAATTATTGTGAAAAATACCGAATTATTATTGTTTATCTCATTTAGAACTGATATAGATCATAAAATAATTTTGACCGCGTAAATCGATCAAATCAACCTATGTGCGGCGGTAGGTACCGCTAGTTAGCATAAGATATCACTATGTTACATATTTTTATTGCACTTGAACTAGAACTAACACTACACCTAGAACTTGAAATATTCCGAACTAAATTCGAATGTTTCTAATTATCGGTCTAGTGTTAGTTCTAGTGGCAGTGCTAGATAGTGCTAGTTAACATAAGATATTACTATGTTGTATATTTTTATTGAACTAAAACTAGAACGAGAACTAGAAACAAAAGAGTTTAGTCGTGAAAAAAACTTTCAGTTGTAAATGTCAAATTTAATTTTATTATTATATTCGTAATCTTCATAAAATAACCTGTAAGGTGAGTCCAAACTTGACGCATTTATCTCACAAAACCAAAAAGTTCAAACTTTCAACTTTTAATTTTGACATATTTGTCAACTTCATAAAAAATCTTTTAAAATGAGTCCAGACTCGACATATTTAACTTTAATATTAATGGAGATACAATCACTTCCGGTTTGAAACGTCAACGTCAATTTTGACATATTTATCAGCTTTATTAAAAAACCTTTAAAGTGAGTTCAAAGATAACGCACTTATCTCAAAGAACAAAAAAGCATTAAACCTAAAGATAGCAACAACGAAGATAGCAATTCAATTTTTAAATATTAATACCAACCTTAATTTTTTATTTATTTATTTTTGTTTTTATGACAAATATTAAGACATTTTATAAAAATTAAGAATATGTCAAAATGACGTTGACATTTCAAACCGGAAGTTGCTTATATCTCAAGTAATATTGGAATTAAACGTATCATGTTTGGACTCATTTTAAAGCATTTTTCACGACGATTACAAATATTAAATAAAATATCAATGTCTTCTGTTTGTACTTTTATTAAAAAATGGATTATTTGTTTTTAATTCTACCGGTTTCGGTTCAATAGTAGAACCATCTTCAGGAACCCTCGAATTTCGTCAATTTATTTTTAAATCTCTTGTGATAGTTAACATGTTAAAAAACTCTTTTCTTCAATTCACAAGAACTTGTGTTTTTACTTGTAGGGTATTAGCTGTTAAGTTCAAAGTTAGTTTGACAGGAATATGTGCGCACGTGTTTTTCATTCTTGTTTGATGTTAGAATGATTCTACCGAAACCGGTAGAATTAAAAACAAATAATCCATTTTTTAATAAAAGTACAAACAGAAGACATTGATATTTTATTTAATGCTTTAAAATGGAAAGAAATAACGAATACAACAATATGATTACAAATATGTCAATATTGACGTTGACATTCTTAACCGGAAGTTGACCATAACTTCATTCATATTTACGATAAATATGTCGTGTTTGTACTCATTTTAAAGGATTTTTAATGAAGATTACAAATATGTCAAAATTGAGGTTGACATTTTAAACTTGAAGTTAATTATCATGTAATAGATGTTTTATAACTGAAGTTAATTTAGTGTTAGTCACTTTTCCGCACTTTCTTTTTATTTTTAACGTGTTTTTTTGGATTTTTTCAAAATCAAACTTTAGATTATTTTCTTCAAACATTTTTACACGATTCATCATTTTGACTCTAGTATTTGTGATTAAATTTATGCTACGACTTACAGAAACACCTCTTTAATCGTAAAACGTACCAAGCGGCTTCTGTGCTTGTGATAGCTGACACAAGTGTGTTCTGTGATAGAAATAGACAGGCTCCAAACAATTTTCAATAGTTTGAGCCTGTCTATTCTGAGAAATCTTATATTTTTAGAGAGATGAAAACGAATATCTCGTTTTTCTCAACATTGTTCATTTGTCGCTTAGTCAAGTGATGCATAACGCGGTCCAAATGTTCTACAGGATAGAATAGGTAACTTTTTTGTTCATACATAATTTTTTTTTGTTTTGTGTATATGTTGGTGCGATGAAGTGTAAAAAAATGGAAAAAATGTCAAAAAATCTGATTTTGTTGAGTTGTCCATATAGCTACAGAACCACACTATGGAAAATAAAAAATATACTGAACATGAACCGTTACTAAGTTTTTTATTATAGTTTTTTCATTAATTTATATGAATTCTAAAAGATTAATTTCCTATTATTGTTAAATTTGTAAGTTTTTTTCTCGGGATGATTGACATTTGTAAACAAAACTAACCTTACCCAATATTTTCTCCCGAGATGACTGACAAAGAGCCACGAGACGCATCGTAGACGCCACAACAAGAAGAGGAGCATGTTATGGCTCAAACTATTTCCTGATACAAGGAATTCAATGGGGAAAAATTCAGATGGGGAACTTAGACAAACTTAGAAAAAGAAATAAAAAAACTATCTTAACGTCGAAGATTATTGGAATAACATCAAAAAAGTAGTTAAAGAAGTACCCAAAACAACAAAAAGCAGCAAAGAACAAAATAAACGAGCTACCAAAAAAAGATAATTAAAATTGTCTGTAATTTGACGTGTATTAAAAAGTTCTGCAAAGAATAACGTTGCTGTAAGATGGTAATTATTATCCTAACAAAAAAGTAGTCTTCAAGATTGAGATCTGGTGAACGAGGAGGCCATATTTAGAAATAAAACCACGGCAAAATTACGGCAAAATGATTTGGAGCTTCGTCTTGCTAAAACCATACCTGATTTAAGTAGAATCCAAGTATGTTTTTCAATAAAGCGTTGATCTACTTAGGAATCAGTAGAATTTAGAGGCTGGACTCTACAATCTTGATCAGAAAGACTGCCATAGATAGTAATACAACAAGCGCAGCCACTTGAAAAAGCCTGCATCGAGTTGGTTTTGGAATGTTGGAGCTAACCCAACCCACAACATAAAGCCATCTTGCACCCTCTGCTTTTACGTCTCTTAAGACGGCTAAACCCGTATGATTCTAGTTCTAGGTCTAGTGTTAATTCTAATTATCGTTCAATAAAAATATACAACAATCTAGCGCTGAATAACAATTAAAACTGAAACTAACACTAGTTAGTTGTTAGTTTTAGTGTTAGTGCTAGTTTCAGTTCAATGAAAAATATACAACACTGAATATAGAACACAGATATACAACAATCTAGCACTGAATAACGACTAAAACTAGAACTAACACTAGACCTAGAAAAATCGCTTAAAAAGTGTTATTTCTAGAGACAATACTAATGTAACACTAGAACTAACACTACACCTAGAACTATCACTAGTTCTAGTGGCCTTAGATTGTTGTATATTTTTTATTGGACTAAAACTATAACTAACACTAAATCTAGAACTAGAAACATTCCGGTTTAGCCGCACGTCTCTTAAGACGGCTTAACCCGAATGATTCTAGTTCTAGGTCTAGTGTTAGTTGCTATTGTAAGACCAGAACTAACACTAGCCCTAACTAGAACTAGACATCTGCAAAGAATAACGTTTCTCTAAGATGGTAATTATTATCCTAACAAAAAAGTAATCTTCAAGATTGACATTTGGTGAACGAGGAGGCCTTAGAGATAAAACCGAACACGCCAAAATGATCTGGAGCTTCGTCTTGCTAAAACCATACCTGATTTAAATACAATCCAAGTATGTTTTTCAATAAAGCTTTGATCTATTTAGGAATCAGTAGAATTTAGAGGCTAGACTCTACAACCTTCATCAGCAACACCGCCACAGATAGCAATACAACAAGCGCAGCCACTTGAAAAAGCCTGCATCGAGTTGGTTTTGGAATGGAGCTAACCCAACCCACAACATAAAGCCATCTTGCACCCTCTGCTTTTAAATCGTAATAATACTGAAGTACAGTCACTATACATATTTGGAAACTTTTGAAAGTTTTGGAAATGAGGACGATGACAAAATTGATTCTTACCAACTGTGAAAAATCACATCAAGAACGTCTTTTTAAGACACTTGAAAATATGCCATAAAAATAAAACAAAGATAGTATCATGAGCAATCTATTTGTTGAACAGATCGCTTTTGAAGTAAATAAACTGTTACACCGGGGTATATAGTGAGGGAAGAGGTAAAGGTGGATAAAGTCAGAGTGGAGGGGGGCAGGAGAGCAGTGAAATATGAAGAAAGAATAGAAGGGAGGCCAAACTGCGGGATCTTGGGGGAGTGTTGGAGGGAAATTAGAGAGGGAAAGATCAAATATGGGAAAGGAGACAGAGACAACTATTATAGACGAGCGGGCTACTCGGTAACTGAGATAAACAGTAGACGAAGGGTGGGTAGGGAGATGTGGAGGGAGTTGAGAGATAGGGACCGAGATGTGCAGAGACAGGAAAGAAGGACACAAATAAAAGAGGGGAGGTATAACGAAAGGTACAGAGACATAATTACGGAGGGGCTGCCTAGATACTTGTTATTGGAAGGAGATGAGGAAGGGAAGAAGTTGGTGGCTAGGTTCCGTTGTGGAAACGAGGAGAGAGCCAACAAATACTGGATGGCCGATGAGGAGAGGTGGTGTAGGCTATGCAGGGAGGAATGGGAAACGTTGGAACATATGTTGAATGGGTGCAGTGAGTTGAGGGAGGAGGAGTTGGACCGAGGGCAGATCTTAGGAGAGGGGGGAGAGGGGAAACGATGATGAGAATGGTTGTGGGGGTGAGGACACAAAGGGATGGATGAGGGGAGGATTGGGCCGAGGAGCCGAGGGTATGGAAATGGAGGAAGAGGGTGGAGGGTGAAAATAATATACTAATGACATATATTATATTAGGATGTATTAAGGGGAAAATTGTAATTATCAAAAACAATAAATGCTTATTAATTGTTAGCAATATCAACGTTTCCACATTGTACGAAACCACATCGTTAGAGATACTTGTACGGTACCAAATAAAGCAAATGAAATAAAGGGTAATTGAAGTGGTTTTACGCACCATTTTGCATGCATACCTCAAAGTGTTCATTTGCATATCCATTTATCTTTTTAAACAATTCAAGACATTAAAATAATTTCCATTCGCTTAAAAGACAATAAATTGACTAACCCACGAAATAATAAATAATGTACCCCGATTAATAGCACTTATTCTCGCGAAAGGTGTACTTATGTAAACGAAACTTTTGATTGTTCTCAATTGCACCAGTCAAAAGTTGTTAATAGGCGCCCTCAAAACTAGGTTAAACACTCCAATTAAATCCTTGCAGTGCTTAAAAGATCCCCAACCACCGTCACACGCTTCATTTGATTACGCGACATTCAAAAACAATGTCAATTCCCGAGATGGACGTTACCAGGTATATACGCTCAAATATAGCGATATTAAAGATTTGCACGTTTTGGCCCCCAAATTCCGACGAAAAAATAGTCAGGATATTGTGGTACGTTTACTATTTCCTGTTTATCTTATTGGTTTTGATCGTTTTCAATATTATCGAGTACGTTAATTTCGTTTTGGCGTTTGGCAATTTGCAAAAGATGATCGAAATATCGTTTTTATTGTTTACAAATACAACGCAAATTTCAAAAATTGCCATTTTTATTTATAACAGTAAAGATATTCAAGAAACTGTTAATTATATGAATAATCCCATTTTTAAATCGAAAACTATAAAGCATTATCATCTTCTTAAGAAAGAAATGGATAGGTATTACAGAGTTTGGTTGGTTTACATGATAATCTGCGCGTTAACTTGTGGTTTATGGGCTTTATTTCCTTTCGTGGATAACACCGTTAAAGATAAAGGATTACCATTCGATTATTACTACCCTTATGATCGAACGGGGAAATTTGGTTATCCCTTAACTTTTTTGTATCAATCGTTGGGGATGTTTATACACGGGACATCACACGCTGCTTTGGATTCTTTATACGCTGGGATGATGGCTTTTGTTGGGGTACAAATCGACATTTTAAATGACACTTTAGAAAATTTACACGAAATGGGGAATTTGGGTGGAAATCATGGCTTTGATAGTATGGAAAAATCGGATAAAATGAATTGTAATTTGGTTTATTGTATTCGTAGACATTGGAATATTCTTAGGTAAAGAATATCAAAAAAAAAAATGTTATTATTAATTATTAATTTTCTTGTGGTATTAGATTTGTTGATCAACTTAATGTTTATATTTCGTTTACCACTTTGATTCAATTTGGGATGGCTGGAATTATTTTATGCGTCGCAATGTATAGCATGAGTATGGTAAATAATTAATTTGATTATTATCAAATTTATTTTAAGATTTCTTTTTAGTTATCACCAACGAGTGGTAAATTTGCTTCGGATCTTTTCTATTTTATGGCGATGGTGTCTCAATTATCGGTTTATTGCTGGTACGGAAACGAAATTATGATCAAAGTAAAACCGATTATATCATAATTAAAAAAATTTCCTCAATATTTACATATTTTTAGAGTGATTTACTGTCGTCATCAATTTACAAATGCGATTGGACGGACACCCACTTAACATTCAAAAAGAACGTGCTCCTCTTCACGTTATTTGTGTCGAGCTCCTCCAAGATTTTCGCCGGATACTTCATCACTTTATCCCTTAATACTTTCGGAGGGGTGAGTATATGGAATTATTCTGGGAGTGTAGGGATTTATCCCGGTTCTCTTCGTAGATCCTTAGGGCGTCTTGGTCCTATTTCGCTGTATTGAAAAATGTCCAAGAATAAGCCGGAAATAACTCGATTGCAACTTTAATCACATTTAAAACCACCAGAAAATAACACAAAAACATATTTTAATAAACACAAATTTCAACAAAGCATTTCTCGTTATATTACTAGAAATGTATGTTAATATCCCCTTTAAGCGAGTAATATTTCCCCTGGAATTCTCGAGCAATACAAGAGCAAGTATAACCACTCCGCTTATTAACTAGATTATGAGGCGCTTTATGTACGTTGTAGATCGATAATGTGTGTTCAGGAATTTTCGTATTGAAGTTAAATCAAAATTAATAAAATTTATGTATCACTTACCTAATAAGGCCTGAAACAGTCTAGATTTGAAGATCCGTATCACCCTTTCTATAGCTAAACGTAATTGGCGATCCTGAGGTTTAATCAATTTTGAATGGTAATCTTCTAGAAGTTCTAAAGCCCTATGGGCCTCTGAAATAATAAAAAGTAATAGTTTAGAAATAGATACATTCTGAAACACCTGGTAGATAGGGAGTTGAACAAGAAGGCAGGAAAGCTGTATGGATTGTTTATTGACCTGAAGGCTGCATTCGATAACGTGGATAGAGAGAAGTTGTGGGAGGAAATGAGGAGGAGAGGTATCACAGAACAACTGATAGGGAGGGTGAAGGAGATGTACAGGGAGACAATGGCCAAGGTTAAAGTGGGGGAAGAGTTAAGTGAGGTATTCTGGGTGACAAAGAGATTGAGACAGGGGTGCCCGCTTATTCCCACACTATTTGCAATAAATACGGCGAACTTGGAAAAGAGACTTGTAAAGGGGCAAATGGGTGATAGGAGGACCAAGATGATGAGGTCCCTGGAAACATATTTTAAGGTGAAGAGGTTGGAGGTAAACGTCGAGAAAAGAAAGATAATGAAGTTCTGCAAAGGGTGGGGAAGAAAGAAAGAGGAATGGAGGTGGCAGGGAAAAGAGATAGAGCAAGTGAAACAGAAAGGTTATGTTTGATGGCACAATGATGTACGACGCAGAAGCATGTGGATGGAGAGAACAAGGTTTGCTGGAGGATATACAAACACAGTATTGGAGATGAGTACTAGGGTTGGCAAGGGAGACTCCGGTTTAGCAGCAAGGGTGGAGGCTGGGAGAAGAGCAGTGAAGTATGAGGAAATGATAGAAGCAAGACCGCATTGCAGGATCCTGAGAGAGTGCTGAAAAGAAATTAAGGAATGGAAGCTGATCTATGGGCAAAGAGACAGGGAGGACTATTATAGAAGAGCGGAAAGAGATGAAATGTGGATAGAATTGAGAGATAGGGACAGGGACATGCAGAGGCAGGAAAGAAGGTCACAGATACGAGAAGGGAGAGAGGAACTGCCAAAGTATTTGTTGATGGAGGGGGATGATGAAGTAAAGAGATTGGTGGCCAAATTCCGCTGTGGCAATGAGGAGAGGGGGAATAGGTACTGGGCGGACGATGTGGAGAGGTGGTGTAGGTTGTGTGGAGAGGGTGTAGTGAGCTAAGGGAGGAAACAATGACAGGAAGCAGATTTTGGGAAAGGGGGGCGAGGAAACAAAGGTGTGGAAAGGGGGAAAGAGGATCTGGAGGTATATATATATAGATTGTATTATATTAGGAAAGGGAAAATTGTAAATATAAAGAAACAATTAGATTTAGCCGGACGTCTCTCAAGACGGCTAAACCCGAATGATTCTAGTTCTAGTTCTAGAGACAGTACTAATGCACAACTAGAACCAACACTAGATCTAGAACTAGAATAATTCCGGTTTAGCCGCATGTCTTTCAACATGGCTAAATGATTCACAAAATCACAGTAACGCATATCCAGCTCCAAAGCAGTTCAAAATAAAGAAATTTGATTGTAATATACAGGAAAAGTATGGAATGTATCTAGTAAATACCTAAAAGTGGACGGCCTAAAACAGCAAGAGATGACGACATCAAATTAAATATGCTCTTGGCTATTCAAGAACAACCTCAAAATTCCCTACGAAATCTGGGCCATAATTGCGTCATAATTTGTTGGAACCTGCACTTTCTTGAGGTTTAATGGTGTAAACGGCGTCATTTCAGTACCTACTTTGATTTTAATTAGCTGATTAAATATTTCCAGAAAACTGAATTTTTCTCGTATATTTTCTTATAAAACCTGATGATGTGATATATCAATCGAATAGAATGAAATATGATTTATCAAAATATGCAAAAAAAAAACATGTATCCCATTTAAGATAACAATATCGGTTACCATAGCAACGAAACTAAGAACAATACAAACAGACAAATATAACCAGAATTAACCAGAATAAAATTTAAATCAAATGGCATATTTACTAGCTATATTCCATACTTTTGTTCCATCCTGTATATTGTAGCGACCTCGGCTTAAAATTGAGCGAGAAGTATACGAGATTGTTACAAGTTCTGCCTCGGCCGCAAGCACCTCTACATAAAATTGAGCAAAAGTGTACAGGGTGGTTCAAATTCGATGTCCGAATAGGCTATCTCGGAAACTATAAGAGTTAAAAAAAAAGTAGCTGACATGTCTCGATCTCTTTTTTTAAATAAATTCCAATGACGAAAACCTCAAAGCGCTATCGTCTTTTGTTGTTCCCCTAGAGGCCAAAATTGAAAATATCGAAAAACCAGCAAGTGCAATTATCTTGGTTATTATTATAGGTGGAGTATTATAACTAGGACATTATAGGGATACTTTTTTACAGAGAATTTGATGACGTAGTCGAAAAAATTTTTTCGGTTTTAGATTATGAGATATTATGGCAGTTTTCGTTTTTTAAATGGAAACAACCACTGATTACTTGCTTATTAAATTCGTTATTTTTTTCTGATTACAAAAATATAGGGTTCGACAGGTCTATTTCTTATTGTTTTAGAATAAATCTAAAAATAAACTTTTTTTATAAAATTTCTAAACGCCGCCGAAATCTAGTGTCATCGAAGAAATCAAATTTACAGTTTCCTGTAAATTACGGGGCGATATTTAAATTATGGAGTATTATTTTTGTGGTATTTAAAAACAAATTATTATGTTTATCTACAACTATTGAATTATCTATTCATTATACATTTGATTTTTGACGGGTAATGACACGCATTACTCATGACTGACAAAGTGTTGAATAATGAAGCCATTATTCAACAGTTCTGACACGGCCTACTAATAAAAAAATAAAACATTAACAGAAATGACAGCTTTCTTATATTGAGGTTATGTCTGAAATGTCTATCAAGTTTATTTTTTTTCTTTTTTTTGATTTTTTGTTTCAAAATTAAATAGTTATAGATAAAGTATAGTATTCAACTTGCGTATAATGGATGTTACCCACTCAGAGTACTCGTGTGATTACACAATTCATCAATTCTCCACACTCGTACAATAATTATGTTTCTAGCCCACTTGTAATATAAATAACTATTATTACACCAACCGTTAATATGGAAATATTTAATAGATAGCATTGTTTTGGATTGGAGAAATATGTTTTTTTAATTTTTAGTTATAGTACTATAATTTATAGAGAACTGTAAATTTAATTTCTTCGAGCACTAAAGAAAAAAGTTTATTTTTAGCTTTATTCTAAAACAATAAGAAATAAACTTGTCGAACCCTATATTTTTGTAAGCAGAAAAAAATCACGAATTTAATAAGCGAATAATCAGTGGTTGTTTCCATTTAAAAAAACGAAAATTGTCATAAAATTCTCAAAATCTAAAACCGAAAAAATTTTTTTATCTGAGACATTACAGGTGAGGCTATACTGATATAATATTGGATAATACATATTGTAGCGCCTCGGCCGCATGCAACCTCGGCTTAAAGTTAAATGAAAAATGTACATTGTTACAAACTTCTGCCTCGGCCGCAAGCGACCTCGGCTTAAAGCTCAGCAAAAAGTATACATTGATACAAGATTCTGCCCTGGCTGCAAGCGAGCTATATTGATATATTAGATAATATATATTGTAGTGCCTCGGCCGCATGCGACCTCGACTTAAAGTTAAATGAAAACTATACATTGTTACAAACTTCTGCCTCGGCCGCAAGCGACCTCGGCTTAAAGTTCAGCAAAAAGTATACATTGATACAAAATTCTGCCCTGGCTGCAAGCTAGCTATATTGATATAATATTAGATAATATATATTGTAGTACCTCGGCCGCATGCGACCTCGTCTTACAGTTAAATGAAAAGTGTACATTGTTAGAAACTTCTGCTTCGGCCGCAAGCGACCTCAGCTTAAAATTGAACACAAATGTACACTATTGCTTAGTTAAGGCGATATTGGTACAATATTGCATAATCCATATTGTAGCGCCTCGGCCGTAAGCGACCTCGGCTTAAAGTTAAACGATAAGAGTACATTGTTACAAACTTCTGCCTCGGCCGCAAGCGACCTCGGCTTAAAATTGAGTAGAAGTTTACACTATTGCTTGGTTAAGGCGAGATCGCTTGGGTCTGAGACGTTACAAGTGATGCTATATTGATACAATTTTAGTTGATTCTTGTTTTAGGTGTAGTGTTAGTTCTAGTGACAGTGTTAATGCACAACTAGAACCAACACTAGATCTAGAACTAAAATCATTCGGGTTTAGCCGCACGTCTCTCAAGACTGCTAAATCCGAATGATTCTAGTTCTAGCTCTAGTGTTAGTTCTAGTAACAGTGCTAATGCACAACTAGTACTAACACTAGATCTAGAACACTAGTCCTAAAACTAGAAATAAACAGATTTAGCCGCCTTAAGAGATGCACGGCTAAACCGGAATGATACAGAACACAACGGTGTGGATTGCTTGACATTCCGTTCTTCGTACTAATCCGTTATGTCAAGGTTTTAGTGTATAATCTCGATTTATATACAGTGCGCGTCAAAAGTAAAATTTGTCATATTAAAATTTTTCAATAATAATAACTTTTGTTGATTTGTAACTAAAAGTAAAACTACGTGATTAACATTACCCACGACAGCTTTACCGTGACAACTTTA